AAATTGAATACATAATGTGCCAAACTCTTCATACAAGAAAACTCAAAATTTAAGCAAAACCTAATTGAACTAGTCCATAATACAAAAAAAAAATGAAAATTTAGGGGATGCATTTTATATTGCTCAGACTCTTTAAAAATGTCAAGGAGTGTAGGTTAAATTCGACAAAAATAGTGTATTTTTGAAGAATCTAACACGACTGAAGAATTCACGCAACTTGCATCAATATAACAGCTGTTGTGTGCAATTTCCTCCATTACCAGACATAATCCCATTAGTCATATTAAATGAATCAAGCCTCAAATCATTGCAATCTACCACTAGAATTGCACTACTCTTTCTAAACCTTAATTTAGTGTTAACACAAAATCTTGATTGCAACAAAAAATCAAAAGCCACCTCTTTATATCCTTCAAATTCTTCTTCAATTTCTTTGCTTAGCCATCCATCATGATCATAACTACTTAACCTTATTGGCACCAACATTATTTTCTCCTTTGATTTTTGAATGATTGGATCCACTAATTTAGTCACCGAAAAAAAATCATCCATGTGATAAATCCAAGCTCGAATTTCTTCATACACAAAAATAATTCTACCCTCATTAGGGTTCTTGATGGAAAGAGTAATATTCCAATCTATAATATTTTTTGAGTCATGATGATAATTAATTAAAGGAGAGAAAGATATTGAATTTACGTGAAATTGAGGTTCTTCGATTTTTTTTGGGAATTTTGTGGAAATGATGATGATGAGAAAGAGGGATAATAAGGTAAAAAGTCCAATATATTTAAATAAATCTAGCCATGGATCATATTGTTTTTGGATTTTCTCAAACATTGTAGTTATGATGGAAGAAAATTAGATTTAGGATACTATAATTAACCCTAATTGTAGTATTAAACATGATTTATTTATATATTCATTTATAACTTATTTCATTATTTAATAAACAATTAAATACAGGATTAAACAATTTAATATTTTATCAAAAAACTATTATCCTTTTTATCTCATGAATCAACAGCCTTTAACTATTATCCTGCTCAGCATGCAGAAGTAGTATATTCGTATTGCTAAAACGTACATTATATGCTTAATACACAAATAATTTCTTAAATTTATTACTCCCTCTGTCCCAATTTATATGACTTACTTTCCTTTTTAGTCAGTCCCAAAAAGAATGACACATTTCTATTTTAAGTAACAATTTGCCTATAAAATGTCTTTTTTACCCTTAATGAAATGATTTACAACCACACAAATTTCTATCATTCATTTTGGACCACAAGTTTTAAAAGTCTTTCCATTTTTCTTAAAGTTTGTGCCAAATCAAAGTACATCATATAAAATGGGACAGAGGGAGTATTTAATTAAGTTTATTTATAATATCTTAAATTTGTATTAAAATTTATTTAAACACTTGAACTATTATATATTCGTAATGTCAAAACTTACATTATATTAATACATAGATAAAAAATTTTAACTTGTCAGGAATTTTTCTTAAAGACTCAAAACTGTGACTTATTTCAATTAGTCATGGAAAGACATAATATTATAAAGTGTTTCTATTATATACTTTTGAATTCAAAATTTTTAAAAAAATTTATGCGTATTCTCAAGTGACCAGATAAAATTGGGTGTTTGAGCTAAAAAAATTTATGCATGGTTCTGTTAAGGATGATGTAATGGTAGAAAAAGTAGACCGAAAATGATCCATTAGCTGTTATATTGCAGAAGAGGGGTGTCAAGCATCAACGGGGACGGCTCTTGCCTTTGTTAAATTTTTATAAAAAATTAATTAATTATGATAAAAAAAAATATTATTTTATCCACTTTAACATCTTTTATACTTTGTTAAAAATAAGAATTAATAGTTTAATATGTTGAACAAAGTGAATTACAATTTTTTTTATTTCTTTTTAAATTTTAGTTTCAAACATTACAACAAGCATATTAAAATGGTGTTTACCAAGTCATTAACTTCTTGAATCAGATTCTATAGTTCTAACTCTTATCTTTATTTTATATTTGTCAACTTATTACTTATAAAATTATGTTAGCAAGTCATATAATAATTGCCTCACTGAAAGAATGTTTTTCAATGTTGAGTTGATAAAATCTTACCTAAAATCAATAACTGAAAAAACAATATTAAATATTAATAATTTTCATCTAAATATGTATACAAAATTTGTTTATATTTTTAGGCCTCAAATTAAACCGGCCGTTAGTTAATTAGATGTTGGTATCCCTAGCAAAAACTAAAAGAAGGAAAAAGAATATGACTACTAAAAAGTTAAAAACCATACTCATCAGTCATCATCTATATAGAAAATGTAATATAGGAGTATTTGTTGCGTGTGTAACGACTTTATATTTTTTTGGATAAAGGGTCAAATATGTCCCTAAATTATTCGAAAAGGTCTAGATATATCATCCGTTTAAAGTTTGGCTCACTCATGCCCTCGTCGTCCAACTTTTCGTCTAAATATGCCCTTATAGGCGTTAGTTGGCCTGCTGGACATATCCAGCTCAATTTCCATTTTTTTAAATGCCACATGGAATTGCCATGTCATTTTGACTTTACCACATGGCATTTATATGAAAATGGAAAGGAATCAATTATTCCCCTAAAAAATTCGAACCCATAAACACCTAATCGGACCCATAAATCAACCCCCCCTTTTAAATAAACTACCCGACCCGTTTTCAACAATTTTGTTTAAATTTTTATTTTTTTCGGTAAATCCCGAAAATGAGTAATTGATTAATAAAAAATATGAAAAAAATATAAAATTAATGCCAAAAATTCACAAATAAATATTGTAACCTTAAATTCAATCACATTTTCTATAGATTTTTTTTTTTTTTGTAGTGTGAAATTTTCATTAAACCAAAAATATCTATTAAACAATGGCATTTTAGTAATTTTAATAATATTTAAGGGCGAAATAATAATTGTATAATTAATGACCAAAATGAAAATCTAGAAAAATCCATACATGTCTTTACTTTTAAAATTGGCCCATAACGATATTTTTATAATTGTGTTAAAATGAAGAGTTTCTATTAATTAACTTTTTACAAACAATAATAAATGCTAAGCTTGTTTTGACATGTTTTTGAAAGAAAATTTTGAACTAATTTAAAATAAAATGTGTATGAAAAGTTAATATTTTGTTCCTAAAAATACTTTAAACGATTATTGCATAAACATATTTTTAACATTATGTTACATAATATGACCACTAAATTCGTATTTTGATTATTAAAATATATTTAACAGGGAAAATTTGACAAGGAAAAAAATTAATATTCAAATTCTAAGGAATATTAAAATACAAACTAAAGAAAAATGAGTAGTTAAAAAATAAAGAAAAAACAAAAAATGAAAATGTCAATATAAAGGGGCTTGAGAAATATAGAGGAAGAAAAAAAAACTAAAAAATAAATAATAACTTGGAAAAGAAAAACAAGTATATTGGTTATTTTGTGGGGTAAGATTCAAAGTTTTCTTTTACGGCATGATATTTAGAGTGTAGTATAAAAAAAAATTATTAATGTAATTTCGAATATAACATTATGTCAATTGTTTTCGTATATAGAAATAAAATTACTTTCATGATTGTTTTTATTTTTGTGGAGTTAGAAATTAATATTTTAATAAATACTTTCAATATTGTGTGACACATAAAATGGGGTAAAGGAAATGACATATATTATTTGACAATGACGTAAAAAGTATATAAATCACAATAATTAATAACTTCGAAATTTAAAAGACATAAACAAAATTGGCTAACTTTCAAAATTATATCAATACCACATAAATTGGGACATGAGAAGTAAAAAAAATTACATAAAAAGTACTACAAATTACAATAATTAACAATTTAAAATATTTAAAAGACATAAAAATGATTAATCTTTGAAGTTATATCTATGGTGCATAAATTGGGAGAACGAAATAATATATATTACTTCAAAATCACTTAAAAAATTATAAATCACAGTAATTAATAACTTAAAATATTTTTAAAAATCATATAAAATTTTGAATAACTTCTCAAGTTTCAATATGCCTGCTTGTAGCCAGCGGTAGTTTGGCAATTTAAAGTTTTCTTTTTAAAAAAATTGTCTTTTATTTGTTTTTGGAATAACACTTTTGAAGTACTATTGATGAAGTTATTCAGGCTAATAGGTTCGCTGTTTCAGGTTTGGACGATGGATGATAGACACAAATGATAAATGTATTCATTTTTCTAGGGGCAAAATGTAGACAAACACATTGTTTGTGCTCCTTTTATTTTGTGTGAATTTCAAAGTTCATTCTCACTTAGATGAATACAAATGGTGGTGATGGGGTTACTTGTTCTTACCTATGAAGTATCCTCATGAAGCTATGGTTGCAATAAATTTTATGGGAAGAGTTGGGCACGTGTAATTTTGAAGATTGTTGCCTTATGTTAAAAAGAATGCCTATGTTGTCTCTGTGATTTTAGATATTTATTATAGCAAACAAACAAGGAACTAAAAGTCAAGTCCTAACCGAATGACAACACCATTGCTGGTGCAAAATATTAGTATTTACTTGGCCTAAAATGTTGGGCCCGTGCTTAGCACAGGCGACACTGATCTAGTATGTAAATATATACAAAAATATCCACGCGTAAGATCCAACAAAATCAGTTTTTTTTTTCATGCATACTGTATTTGTATTCGATGTCTAAATCACCCCTTTGAGATTCATATTACCGATAAATTGTTATTACAGCTCATATGTTTCCTTCATTACAATAGTGACAAGTATTAATTGTAAAGTTTGTTACTTCCTCTGTGTCATATTAGTTGATTACTATGCTGAAAAAAGAAAGTATTAATTGATTTTTTTTCCATATTACTCTTCCAATTAATTCTTTGCGAAAATATTTGCTACTAAATAATTGCATGTAGTAGTAGTGTATACAAAATTAGTACTCCAATTAGACTTATTATAATCAAGAAAATCAAACCTTTTTTTGCATTATTAATTTGAGCATCACTCTCAAATTCATGCATAAGATTCTCAAGAGTGTCATGTAAATAACTTATACAGCAAATTGGACCAACCTATTATAAATATAACTTTTACAAGCAACATTCAAAACAAATAACTGTGTAAGCAACATTAAATTGAAAAGTTTTTTCTGTTTTTTGCTCTGTATCTGGACGACACCAATTTGATCTCTTGATCAATCATTCATGACAACCCGGTATATGTATATTCACCATATATAGACTGGACGCAACGCCTCCATAGATTATTTTCACGAGCCAAAAGCAAAATTCATGTCGAAAATGCTAGCAAAACTAATAGTAAGGAAGCAATGGACTTTGGTAGCCAAAACCAACTTCACCTATCGAGCATCGTTGGATGTAAAAGAATCCGCAAATCCATTTGGCTTAGCAGGAATACTTCCTCTGCTATCTTGACTAGTACTGGTGAAGTCTCCAGTGTCTTCATCCTGCCAGTCCTTCAACATTTCTGGAAGAGGTAGACTGTAGTCAATTCCTGAATAGTCATCCGACTCTTCTACGGGTTTCCAAGACTCAACTAGTTGGCCAAGCACATTCACAACGTGTGACATGTCAGGCCTGTGATTGGGGTCTCTCGCAGTGCAATGTCCAGCTAATTCAGCCATAGTGCAAATGCTCTTGTGGATATCTTCCTTCACGTCAAGAGCTGGATCAACGGAAGCAAGGAGGTTTTCTTTATTCGATTTTATCTGCCAGAACCACTCAACTAGATATCGAGTTTCCTCGGACCGATGCTCATCAAGGGCAGTTAGTCCAGTCACAAGTTCCATCAACACCACCCCAAAGCTGAAGACATCTATTTTAGTTGTGACTTTTCCGGTCACTGGAGAGGTAAAATGTGAGTTGGGATATATGAAAGGTGACTAGGTAATTCGTTCAACAAGACTGAGAACTAAAATATACGGGTAACATAAAGATAAAGTAAGCAATAGTTTCTACACCAAAATTAACAGGTATGACATGCTTGTTGAACAGCTTTACGCAAACATATTTCAGTACCATGCCTCAAGAGAAAAGTATCTTTAAAGGGATAGAGTTTCTGTTTCTTTTTGTGGAGTCAAGATGATAACTATGCTCTGAATGATCATATGGAGAGAGGATGTGAAACCTTCTACTTGAATTGTTTAACAAAGATAGTGAACAGAATGAGAATATCACTGAATGATGCGAGATTGATACATCAATGTCCGAGGTATATCAATTTAGTAGCTAGCGCACACCGACAACAAAAAGGAAAAACGTAAATGCTCCATTGGTTACTCTGTTCTATTTTGGCTGGAGAAGGAAGGGATTGGAAGGTCAGAAGCGCAATTTAGCAGTCTGGATTCTCATTATAGAACTGATGCATTTCTTAAAATAGAGGGACTAAAAGAGTATTGGTTTCGTTCAGGTAGAGATGTGTTCATGTAACAGCTTACCCGAGCGTAAAAAATACAATTGATGCTTAAATGATAATATTTACCAGAACAGTCGAAACGAGTGTCTAAGAAAGAGATACCAATGGAAAAAAATGCACACATACCAGCATACTCGGGAGCAAGGTATCCAAATGTTCCTGCAAGCCTTGTTGCAACGGACCTTTCTTTGTCAGGAGCGAGTTTCACTAATCCAAAATCAGAAACTTTTGCTCTAAAATCATCATCTAGAAGAATGTTTGATGATTTGAGATCGCGATGTATGAAGCTCTGGTGTGCCAGATTATGAAGGTACTCCATCCCTCGAGCGACATCTAGAGCAATATTGAGTCTCTTTGTCCACGATAAAGGCTCTAAGTTCAGGATCTTCCAGCGAAAAAGATGTCTACTCAAAGCGCCCTTTGACATATATTCATATACCAAAAGCCTCTCATTTCCTTCAATGGAATAACCCAAAAGTGAAACTAAATGGCGATGTCGAACCTTAGAAAGCACAGCTATTTCTGCTTGAAATTCATCCAATGCCTTGCTGTTGATAATGGCAGATTCCATTCTCTTCACTGCAATTTGAATTCCATCTTCAATTACGCCTTTGTAAACAACTCCAAAGCCACCACGACCAAGCTCATTCTCTGGTGCAAAATTATCGGTTACCCTCCGAAGGTCCTGGGTTGAAATGACAAGGTTTCCAATCTCAATCACTCGACTACCTTTTGTTCCACCACTAGTTGTAGTAGTTGTTGTAGTACCACTCTGTAAGCTGTACATCATGGGATCTTCTAAGATAGTGATCTTAACAATGTTATCTTGATCGAATGGCTCTTTGGGGTGGATAACAATAGTACCTGAATCCTTCTCTCGTTTTCTCTTGCTCTTGAAATACAAAACAACGGCAAGAAGAGTGAAAACGAAAGAAGCTGCACTCACAACTACAATGATCATGGTCTTATCATGGTTCTCTGATGTGGTCTGCCCTTTGGTTCCACTGGGAGACTTTGAGTCTGAACCTGAACTTTTCTCTGGGGAGGGCGGTGTATCTGGTAATGTTGGCTGATTATCACCGGGAAATGGGCTTTTCGATGGTAACTCCTTGCTTGATTTAGGACTGTGGCTCAATGGAGGAAATGGGCTAATACTCAGAGGAGGAGCTGCCGCAGTTACATTAGCAACAAGATGAGCATTTCCGTCTGTAATGACTTTCACACTATCCCGGAATTTCGGTAATGGTGGATCAAAATTGTTCCCACTTAAGTCCAACAATCTCAAGGATCTGAGCTCTGTTAAGTTTGCAGGAACTCGACCATGCAAACTATTTCTTTTTAAGTGAACTTCAAGCAGTGAATCCAAGTTTGCAAGTGAAGGGCTAAGCGTACCCGTAAGGTTCTTGTTCTGTAGATTAACAATCGTAATCTGGCCTTTAGGATTGCAACTGATTCCCAACCAAGGACCTGTACATGGATCATTGCCACTCCATTCAGGAGCAAGGTTGGCTGGATAATTCCAACCGCAAAGAAGATCTAAAAGTGCATTAACTTGAGGAACACAAGGAACACCAGGAGTTGGCTGACAGAAAGAATTTGAGGAATATGTAGCATTCGCAGCTCTAAACTTTGGGATAGGACCCATGAGCTTATTATTGTTCAAGTCTAACACACTCAAGTCTAGATTTGCCAAACCTTGCGGAATCAGACCAACGAGTTGATTTCCGTTAAAATTCAGCTCCTTCAAGTCATTTAAATCATCAATTGTATCAGGAATTGGTCCACTAAAACTGTTGCCTTGAAGCCATAACAACATAAGCTGATCCATAGTACCAATTAAGTCGATTGGACCCGTCATTCCAGGACTATCTTGATTATTCAACCACAAAATCCGAAGCATTGAATCACGAAAACTGTCTGGTATCTCACCGGTCAAACGATTATACGACAGCTTCAACGCACTTAGTGAAGGCAATTTCCCAAAAAAATCAGGCACAGGTCCAACTATATTGCATTGCACACAAGAAAAATTCGTCAACTGAGCTGAATCTTGCAACTCAATCGGAATAGACCATCCACTCTCATTAAACGGATTATAATCCAAAGCCAAAACTTGAACACTGCTAAGACCATTAAAGAAATCACCAGGAATCGTATCGAATTCATTGTTGTCCAAGTATGCATATTTCAAATCAGATAATCCATTGAAAGTAGGTAATTTCCCACTAAAACCATTCCCCTGAAGGCCAAGATTTTGAAGCTTATCAAGTTGATTCAAGTTCTGAGGTAAAGGACCCTTTAAACCCAAACTCTGAACCTGAATTTGGGTAACTCTGTCACTAGAACAGAACACATGAGGCCATGCAGGAGGACCACAAGGATCATTCCCCTTGGAAGGCCATTTCAATAGTTCAGGATTCTCTAATCCATTTCTAAAATCACTCAAAATCTTGAAATCATTCAAATTTGTTACACCAGAAACAACATTTACAAGAAATACACCTAATGTACAAAAGTATATAACAACACCTCTGAAATCACAATACTTATATACACACATGATGAAAATTCAAGATTATCATAAAATTACATAGTACTTTTTTCTCAAGAATTGTGAACCCCAAATGAACAAAGTACATAACAGTAACATATAAAGATGCAAGTACATAATAACTATAAATTGTTGGAAAAATGGTACCTTTTTTTAATAATGTGAGTGAATTTTGTAAGAAAGAGAGATGAGTTTAGCAAAGAGTTGTGGATCAAACCCTAAAGACAAGTACAAATTCATGACACCTTTTTTTCTCTGTCTCCTTCTGTCCTTTGATTTCTCACAATTCTGTTTTTTTCTTCTTTTACTTTTATTTCTTTCTTTTTTTCTCCTTTTTATAGTAAATCTTCGTTTGGATTTGATTACTCCCCCCGTTCAACAACAATACCTGTCCAATTTAAAAAATCAAGAGATAATGTATCTTTTGTGTCTATTTTATCTTTATTATTATATATATTTATTATCTAATATATTTTTTAAAGCATTAAATTTAATAAAGTCAAAGAATAATATAGTAATATTACCTATATTATTTATTGTTTCTATGCAAGTTAATAGTGGATAACTATTATTGGAGAGAGAAAATATATATTAATTAAATGGACAGTGAGATCTTCAGAATCTCATGTCTAAATTATTAACTATTTTAATTATACTAATTTCATTGAACAAAATTTTAAAAAATATGAATAATGTCTTCCTTGAGTCAATTTTCGATTAAAATCAAATTCAAATGATTAGTTTGATTTTTTAATTGTTAAAATTAAATTAATTTTTTTTATTTGTTTGATTTTTTCTAAAATTCAAATTATGATCAATAATGTCTTCTTTTTACTTTTAAATTTCTATTAATTTAAAGAATTATAAAATATTTTTATTTTTTTCAAATAGACTTAAAAGTAAATAAAATAAACAAATCGAAATGTTGGGTTGTGCTAGTTTGGTTAGATTTTAATTATTTTTTTTAATCTTTTTACATTACTATTATTATTCTCTAAAAAAAAGGGGTGGCATGATTTTTGGGGTCAAATGAAGAAATGGATGTGTCGGTGGTATTGTTTTGGACATGATGAGGAGTTATGATGAGTGCAACATTCGACCAAATTTTGCCTTCTTTTTTTGTTTTTATTACCTTTGCATGCGTAGCAAAATTTGAGTGTCAACAATTTCAAATCGGCAAGTCAGCCCACATGTTTCCTCTTGTCATTTTCTTCCCTGCGTAACTTTATTGGCATTTATTACTTTTTCATCGTCTCATAGTTTGATTGATTTGAATTTTCGTCTCAAGATGTCTAGAAGATTTTATTTTTTTTCATATTCTAGACTAAAAATTGAGTACTCCAATTAAAAAAAAGTGTCATCTATTCTAGTTTTCACATAATCTACTTGAAATTTGAAAATTTATTGTGGCATTTTATTAATAAAGCGTGAAAAATGAGATATGAAATTTATTGAATCGATTATTCAATGTGTAATTAGTAAATTACTATGTAATTAAAGGACCAGCTAAGATGACAAAAGTTACTGTTAACAAATCAATGCACACAAATTTAGTTTTTTAATGTTTAGAAAAAGATAAATACACAATTTTGTTTAACTAGCAAGAAAGACATTTTTCATAGTTAGGACCTCTATTGAGGAAATCTTTTTATCCAACTATGGTTGAGTTTCTTTAGGCTAATTTAAAAAGTATATTATCCTTTGAATATGAAATAACAATACAATTTTAATCTAAAACATAGTAATTAAATGGAAGGACGATTAATAAAACTGAAAATTTATGAATACATAAAGTAAAGATAAATGAATATAGGAAGTTGTGTAATATAATTGAGTTCGAGGGTAAAATTATTTCTGTGTGATCTATAGGTTACGAATTCGAGTTGTTGAAGCAGCCACTAATACAAGCATTATGCCAGACTGAGACTGTCTACGTCATACCTCTTGAGTATGACATGCGTGATGTTTTTTGCACCGAACTGTCTTTTATAATTGAGTCCAAACATCATCTTTTAAAAGCATATATCTTGAACATATCTTACTTCTTGTAAGACAGAGAGAAATAAATAAGAAATAAAATAATTAAATCTCAGTTAATCACTAACCTTTTGTTACTGAATCTAATCATCTTAAAAATGCATATTTTGTTCAATTTAAGATGAAAAATAGGGTTGATTTCTTAAAGAAGAAAAACATTTTCAAAATATTGAAATACTATGACTTTCAAATTAAATTCTGGATTAATGAATCTAGTCAAAGAGAAAGGTGATGCAATGAGATAGAATATGTGTGTAACGGGTTCAATTTAGACAATATTTCTTTAGTACCGTTATATATTAAATTTTGAATTTATAATTTAAAAATATAAAGGAGTATTCAATGATTAAAACTTTTGAAAAGTGAAACACACAATAAGTATAAATTGATGAATAAGTCCGTAGCCTTTGGAAAAGAGAGTGGGGAAAAAATAATTAATGTTGTAGCATGTAGGTTGGACCATTTGTATTAAAATATATAAGTCCATCCATCACGGGAACTTCACACCTCCTTAACAACTTGATTCAATCCACATTAAATAAACCTTTTTCCTAGTTTAATTTTGTTGTGACCTCCGTGTCACGTATTACTTTCTTCATTTTAATTTATTTGAACAATTTTAATTTGAAAGTAATTTTTTTTATTAAACTAAAGATATATAAAGTGTCAAAGAATAAATTTTCCCCTTCGAAGGTAATATTTCGAAGGGGAAAAAGTTGTCTTCTCGTGATAATATTTAACATATACACTCCAAATTTTTTAATACAACAATTGTTTATCAATTTATCATGATACTAGATTAGTAAGTTTAATTTACATATAATGCAAGGAGTAGGGAAATATAAAGCATGTATCTTGCGCTTAATTATAGATATATAGATATATTTTTATTTATAATTTAATTATAGTTAAGTGATCAATATGTATAAATTAATTGAAGGGCGTATGCAACTTATGTCTCTGTCTAGACCAAATTCCTCTACGTCTGCATGCAACTGAAGTACTGATATTTCTTTCTTTTTAAAAAAAAATTACATATTAATTGCAAAATTAGGTGAAATGTCTTTTTCAAATTTTGTCAGCCAACTAAAGATGTACTACTATTGTTTTCAATCTCTTGTCATCTCTCACAAGCATCCCTTTTTGTCAATACAATTTAACATATTATTAAAGGTATTTAAAAATATATTTTACATTTAATGTCCACTAATGGAATTAGATTGTTGTAAGTGTTTGAGCTCATAAGCAAACAGGAAACGAAATGAGATATCAACTAATCATCTTTAAGAAATGGTCTTTGATAGCTTCGATTACCTTGGTTGGAAATGATTGATCTTCAGGATAATAAGCAATAGGATCAGATAATAGAGGGTCTGAAACATTGAGCACACCTTCAAGAGTCGCGTGCAGACAATAGGCTGAATATGTAACATGGTATCCACCTTCTTGGACTATCAAGAGCCGTCCATTGCTATACTTGTTTGCCATGCCACGAATTGTCCGCCCAATCTCTCTGTAACCTTCCATTGTCAAGCATTGTCTTCCATTTGGATCAAACTGAAACACAAGCCAACTTTAATTTCTGAATACAATAGCTCTATGAACTAAACAATGCTGATACTATTACAATAAGAATATGTTTTAGACAGATTAGCATGTTTAGACACTGACAAATTTGACTTGTCAAAATGAAGTTGAAACAGCCAAACTGCAGATCTAAGCATCGAATTGAATGCTTCTGTAACTGAAGTGAAGGAACTTATGCCCACCTGCCAACCAGCCCCTCTCAAACTTCTGAGGAAGTATAGACAAGCATTGGTAGGAGGCTAATAAATGCACGCCAGTCTCTGAGCTCAACTTATTTTTTTCAGCTTAACTTCAAATATTTACTATGGGTCAACCACAATCCCAACTGAAAGAACCTTTAACTAATTGTCCTTGTTCAGAGAAACTTAGGAAATCACGACTAGTAGAATGGACAGAAATACACACGAGTAGTTTTCTCTAATAACATAACTTAGAAGCCTAAATTTCCAATAAGCTCATTAATTTAAGATATCTTTAACCTGTGGCCTACAGCTTCAACCATTAATACCATACAACAATTGTTGATGGTGCTAATACTGCAGATCCAGACTATGCAACATAGGAACATGATAGCATTATCCAATTGACAACAAACACAACGTCCAAGCAATTATCTGTGAATTACAGAAGTTAACTGTGTGGGTTAAAGACCACTCACCAACTAATAAGTTTGGATATGACTTTTTCACATTTTAAAGATGATATTTCACTGATTAATGAACTTGACTCCACAAATACCTTTCAACTTCATCACAAAATACAAAAATCTGAACTGCAATAAGTTAATGCACTTACAGCACTTGAGTCCTGCCCAACAACCAAAACCATCATATCAGGCTCAAATTTCTCGATAGCAGGAACAACTAAATGCTGCATGGCATAACCATACCCTTTGTCCCCAGTTCCATTTGGCAACGGTATATTCAGGTTATACCCAAAACCTTCACCTTCACCAAGCTCCTCTACAGTTCCACCCTGTGGATGAGAGGGGCCCCAAGAACCATGATTCATATGAAGGGAGATAGTAAGAACCTTGTCAGAATGATAAAATCCTTCTGCTGTTCCATTCCCGTAATGAACATCAATGTCAAGGACAACAACCTTCCTACAGCCACCATCTAAAGCCAGTTGTACAGCTAGACCCGCATTGTTAAGGAAGCAATACCCATCAGCTTGAGTAGGTTGCGCATGATGACCAGGTGGCCTGACCAATGCATATGTGATTTTCCCATGTCCATCAATTATATGCTTCATAGCTGATAATGTACTACCAGCAGCAAGAAGTGCAGCGTCCCATGACCCAGGATTTAAGAATGTCCCTCCACATAATTCTTTTCCGCCATTTCTATCAGCTTCAATTAGTTCATTTACATATTCTGACAAATAAAAAATGAAAAAGCTAAGAGGCTTAAACTTGAAATAAGAATAGATTTCAGAATAGGGTTGGATTTATAACCAAAGCCAACTCATGATAGAATAATTATTAGTGTTTCTTCTCAAGATGTTCGTCATTATTTGTGATTGATTAGGTAGGATGGAAAGAAACGGTAAGTAAGGATTTCACAATTTAAACTAAGCATGCATTATTTTACTTTCTTTCTATACCTTCAAACCAATTATCCCCTTTCTTTCGTTCAATTCCTTCAAGAAAATCAACTCCTATTTTTCT